CCCCCCCCCCCCCCCCCCACAACGTACCACAGCAGGTGATACAACTGTGGCATTGTGCCATTCACTGACCATTGTGGTGAAATCTTGAATGGTTTCCCTCTTTCTCATTTTAGGTACTCTTTCAGGGAAAGAATTCATTTATTACCCCTCAGAAGAAGAAGAAAGAAGAAGAAGAAGAAGAGAAATAATTTCTGGGTTGATTCCAATCTGGGGTTTTGGAGCCATAGACCCCTGGGGGTCGGTCTATTTTCTATCACATTGAGAAAAAAATCCAGTCTTGGCAGTTAATTCACCATTCCCCATTGTTTTAACTCTGGCATTCTTGATTCCCTTGCATGTTTTTTTCATGGTTGATGTTTAATTTTGTTGATGGGTTTGTTTCAGTGCTGGGGTTTGAAGGTTTTATCCCAGGGGAGTCTCCAAGAGCAGCAGTGACTACCTGTGGACATGAGCGGTCCAAGAGGTATTTTCAGCTTGAAAAGGCCAATTTGCCCGGCACAGTTTGAATTCACTGAAGCACAGAGACATGATTTTCAGTTTGCATGTGTCTGTGTGTGTGTTTATTGTTTAAGGTTGCATATGATGTTTTATTTCTAATTAATGAAAATGGAAAGACTTGGCCGTTCTGAATTGAGTTATACTTGTACCATTAGATAGGTAATAGTCCAACTGTCCAAGGCAGAGTTATGCCACTTTCATTTTAACTAATAGACTTATATGGTTTGGTTCTTGCTGATATCTAACTTTGGGAAAAATTTTCTTATTCCACGAACTATAAAAGATGTAGATTTTCGCACCTTATTGCCTACGTTTTGTTTGCGCTTATCCATTTCTGGCCTTCTTGTGTGAATTTTCTTCAATTAAAGTTTTCTGGATGCACGAGAAACGGAAGAAGATAGTTTCATCCATAATTTTGATGCATCGTATGGTTTGAAGTTGGTAAGGAAGCTCTCGAATTCCCCTTGCATTGTTTTCCCTATTCCCTTTGAATATGTGATATCAATGCTCTCATAGCTTAAGTAGAGTGATGGGTTCTTTCTCACTAAGGATATGGAGCACTCAGATGATTCCATGAAGAGAAAGAAGAAACAACTGTCATCTAACACCATGGTCCAAAGTTCACTCAGGCAAGATGTATGACAAAAACTCGACATTTTTTTATAACTAATTCATTCGTTTCTGGCAGAGTTTCAGGGGGGGTGAAACAAATTTTTTAACATTATTCTGTGTAGATAATGCAACTGGAGAAAAGATTGCAGAGCCAACTTGCTGTGCGGTGTGCTCTGGAGAAAGCATTAGGGTATAGGTCAACTTCTCAGAATACCACTGATGAAATCTCAATTCCTAAGGTAGCTTCTAAGCTAAAAAAAATATTCCTTCCACGCAAAAATGACGTTGCCAATTTCTTTTTTAAAATGTTCTTGCAAGTAACATACTATTTATATCGCGGTGAAGAGATTTGTGTAATTTAAATTGTAGCCAGCCACAGAACTGATTAGAGAAATAGCTGTGTTAGAGTATGAAGTTGGAAATTTGGAAAAGTACCTCCTTTCATTATACCGGAAAGCATTTGATCCTCAGAGTTCAACCCCCTCCCCACCTCCTGAACATGATGACAAGCTAAAATCCCCAGTAAGCACCCCAAGAAGAAGAAGGCTCGATTTTTCAAAACCGGGTGAGATATTGACGAGTGAAAAACCCACAGTTCAACATAAAGAAAGCAATGGCACGGCAGAAGACAAACTTTCAGATTCTGGAGTTAAGAGGAGTCATTCCTCCCTCTCTCAGCAGTCAGATTTGTCAAGCAGAACTTCCCCTCCACAAGAAAAAGCCATGGGTACTTTTCATTCTCAGCCCCTATCTATGATGGAGGTAAGTTCATCATCATCATCACCACCACCATCATCATCATTACTGGTTCGGATGTATTATAATCTTTTGATATTTCAGGACACACAAAATGCTTCTTCAAATATAATCAGCTTGGCAGATCATCTAGGAACCCACATTTCTGATCATATTCCAGTGTCACCAAACAGGTTGTCAGAGGAGATGATAAAGTGCATGTGCACTATATACTGCAAGCTAGCTGATCCAACAAGAACAACTCAGGATCTTTCATCTCCAACATCATCTTTCTCATCAGTAACTGCATTTTCTCCAAAAGATCAGCGCGAAATATGGAGTCTTGGAATTAGACATGGTTCGTCTTTTGATGTCCGTTTGGATAATCCTTTCCACGTTGAAGGGCTGAAGGAGTTCAGTGGTCCTTACAGCTCAATGGTAGAAATACAGTGTATCTACAGAGATCATCAGAAAGTTGGTGATATTGAGCCCTTTTTACAGAATTTCAAGTAAGGACATTTAATTACAGTAGGATTCTCATGTAGTATCTGTTTGACTGTCTATACATACTCTCTCTTAACCTACTGATGTGACAAATGCTTAATGAAATGCAAATAATGTAGGTTACTTATATCCCGATTAGAAGAAATGGATCCTCGAAAGTTGACTCACGAGGAGAAACTTGCATTCTGGATCAACATACACAATGCATTGGTGATGCATGTAATGCTAATTCTTCTTTCAATATGTAAATGTTTCTTTTCAAAAAGAAAGAGGAAATTAAAGTCGTTTCTTAGTAGTAATGTTTTTATTCACTGCAGGCATTTTTGGCATACGGAGTTCCACAAAACAGCATGAAGAGATCACTCCTTCTCTTGAAGGTTCACTAATTAAAACGGTTTCTATTCCGAGTTCACTTTATTTAGGAAGTAATGTCTTATGGCTTCGTTGTCCTAGCAGGCGGCCTATAATGTTGGGGGCCACGTAGTTAGTGCTGATGCTATTCAGAATTCTATTCTCAAGTGCCGACCCCCTCGACCCGGGCAGGTAAAGTTTTCAAGCAATAAAAATGAGTTCCATTGTGTATTAGTAGTATTGTATAGGCGGCCGAGGGCATAGCTTAGTTGGTCATGCTTTGTACAGACAATAACTGTCGGCGCAACTTTTTTTTTTTTGAAGTTTTGTATATGCACAAGTGCTTTTTCAGTCCTCGCACTACCTTACATGGATTGGAATAGAAGTAAGGTCCGTGTGCATCTCACTCGCCATATTCTGCTCTTGCAGTGGATTCGCTTGCTACTCTTGTCGAGAGGCAAGTTTAAGGCCGGGGATGAACGCCAGGAATTTGTGATCAAAAACCCAGAACCGCTCGTGCATTTCGCAATATCTTCTGGCAACCATTCCGATCCTGTGGTATTTAGTGTTCATAATAAAACCTTCCATTTCGTCCTATGTTGTGAGTGTGTTTACATAATTTGATCAACAATAACTACAGATATTGATTGTCAAAGTGTGGTACTTGGTACTGGATACCGTAAAAGTCAAACCGCGACATTCTTGATCTATAATGAGTAATATTTTTCCTCGATGGGTTATACTATTTTTCTTTATTATCATACAAAATTCCAGGTCCGAGTATACACGCCGAAGAGAATATATCAAGAGTTGGAAACAGCAAAAGAAGAGTACATCAGGGCCACATTCGGCATGAGGAGTGACCACAAAATCCTTTTGCCAAAGATGGTCGAGTCATTTGCCAAGAACTCGGGCTTGTGCTCTGCGGGCATTATCCAAATGCTGATTAAGTCTTTGCCCGATTCCCTGAAAATGAGCGTTAAAGGGATGTCGGGAAAGAACATTGAATGGGTCCCGCACAGTTCCACATTCCGATATCTCGTATCGAAGGAGCTGTCTCAGTGATTGCCTGCTTGCTCCCGAGAAGGTAGCTAGGAAGGGTATATATGTAATTTCCCATTGATAGAATGGAGATAGTTGTTTGCAAGGGGCAGAATGGATTGCAGCAGGATGTTGAATATGGTGATTGTGTTAGTTCTTTTAAATAACTCTATTGCGAAAAATAATTGATGTTTTATGAAGTTGCTCATATCATTGAGTCTTGTGGATTGTCTTTTGGTCTGGCCACTAAGAGCCTCTTTGATTGGTGTATTAATACATGGTAGGGAAAGAGGAAATCTGTAGGGTTAATAATAAAAATAATAATAATAATAATATTATTATTATTATTATTATTATTATTATTATTATTATTATTATTATTATTATTATTATTATTATTATTATTATTACTACTACTACTACTAGTATTATTATTATTGTTGTTGTTGTTGTTGTTGTTACTATTATTATTATTATTATTATTATTATTATTATTATTATTATTATTATTATTATTATTATTATTATTATTATTATTATGAGGCTGGTCCCATGTCATTGCCCGACAATGTTATGGGATGACATGAGTATTTCGGTGCCCTGTTCGTAAAATTGACGGTTCCTACCCCCTAACCCCCGGTAAACCCTCCCATCCCGCCCCGGCCGAACACAACCACACTCCCTTCAACTGCACCTCCGAAGTTAATTTTGATTTTGGAGTCAAAACTTGACTTCAAAACAGCTAAGTCAAACATGCATGATCCAAATTAGCCAACGACTGACCTCCAAACAAGGCCAACACTAGCTAGAGCCCCAATTTAAAGAGATACTCCGATCCCGACATAATAGATTTGAAATACTGATTTCAAATTGACTTCCCATCTGAATCAAGGGCGGACCAAAGGGTCTATAAATTAAAATACTCCAATAGTCACAATCTTTTATAAAATATATCTATATATGAATATAGATACTAATAGTCAAAGTGTTACATTTAAAAGACGTTCAAAAATAAATGAGAATAAAAACTTCAGGTGGCTGGAGATGGAGCGGAGACCAAACAAATGACGCCCTCTCTTATTTTAACAATGGATCAATACTCGATCTATCCTAAAACCATACAACCAATTTACATCATAGCTTTTGCAATTTGCAAACAAGGACGTTTCTGCAAATTGCAAAACAATAAGTGATGTAAACTTGGTATAAACATGTATATATGGTATGGTATATTACAAAGAGTATAATCTTATTTGAGCACAAGGAAACTAGGAAATTATTGCTAATATTAACATCTTTAATTATTCTGGCAAGTACAATAGGGGCTTATGGGAACTCCGACCGCCGAAGCGCAGCCAGGTATGCCTTTTGGACCACACATGGAAGTGCAAAAGTCTTTACACGCTTGAGTCACGATGTCAGTGTGGGTGTTGCTGTTGGTGTCACAACCGATGGTTAAGTTTAAAGCAGGACAAAGAGCATCACTTGAAGGGGTCATTACTCCAACTGCATGCATTCAAAATATAGTATCTAACTTATTATATGAGACTGACACCAACCATAACAATCCAGTTAATAATCTCTGGAGAGCTTATCTCCAGTTGAAAGTAAAGAGGTTTCAAAGAGACCCCGATTCGAACATCACAGGTAATCACCCATGATGAACATCTCAAGTTGCACTCACTAACTACTACGGAGTACTTCATATTTAAAGAAGCACAGATAGTTTAAAGGTCATTTTACTTTACTCGATCATACCTTAAAACAAAAAAATAGTGAATCTTTAGCTCAATGAGGGATGATGGAAATTATTAGATGAGACTAAACACAACAATAAATAAATTTTAATTTACTCCTCGGTTCTCATCAATGCCAATTGAAAAAGAATGAGCCTCACCTTAAAAATCCCTACAAAATCGACAGGATAGTCATCTAAGAGGATATAAATTAAACTTTAATAACAGATTGACTGACAAATTAAATACTAGAGTCTACACCAGATTACCAGATACTTGCATTTGCTTTATGACCGATGTCATTCGAAGAACCTACGGTATGTGCTCTATTGTGTCGATCGATGTGTTAGTCTATAAAATATTTCTTAACTACAGTACTATTGTGTCGATCGATGTGTTAAAATTAGAAATGTAAACTTTATTTTCAGACGGAGAAAAAGGAGAAACGTAAACTTTATTTCTGGATGGAGGGAGTAGTATTTTATAGTGCTTTTTGGTATTATATATTGACATTATTTACATTACAACTCTTATTTTAAAAAAATATGTAACTCTTACTTAAATATTTTTCTATGTTTTACTCTTTATTTAGTATTTTTTCCACCACTTATCAGTAGCCACCGAGTAGAGGTGGACATGGACTAGTTATGGTCAGGTTCTGGTGAGCCAATTCCGGTAACGTCAAGGGAGGGTACCGCCACTAGTACAGGTAGCTGGTGCGGCGCCACATGTTTTAGTTCTTGAATTGCATGGTTAAGTTCTATATTGGAAAATGACTTATGTTTTAGTTCTATTTAATACAAATTTTACCTTTATTTATTTATTTTTTGATAGGTTAAGTTGGTGTATGACTAAACCAAAATTGTTGAAACAAAAAAAAAGTTACTCCCTCCGTCCGGAAATGTTCTTCCCATTTGGCTTTTTATGGTCTCCAAGATTGTACTTTGACCACTAATATCTTTATTTATGTATGAATATATTTTATAAAAATTTGGTATTTGAAAACTATATTTCAAAATGAATATATTCATATTAAAGTTATATCGTAATACAATGTATTTTTTCCACATATCATAGTCAAACTTTACAAACTTTGATCAAGAAAAGTCAAATGAGAAGAATATTTTCGGGCGGAGAGAGTAGAATGAAAACCCTCTTTAAACGTTCCTCTTTATAAAAATTTGGTATTTGAAAACTATATTTCAAAATGAATATATTCATATTAAAGTTATATCGTAATACAATGTATTTTTTCCACATATCATAGTCAAACTTTACAAACTTTGATCAAGAAAAGTCAAATGGGAAGAATATTTTCGGGCGGAGAGAGTAGAATGAAAACCCTCTTTAAACGTTCCTCTTCCCCCGCCCCACCCCCCACCCCCGCCGCCCCATAAAATGGGATTGTTGGTTCTGGTACCCCACCCTTCGAAGGGAAAAAAACACAAGTATAAAGTATAAACAAAACATTATATTGAAGATATACCAAATTATAAGTTTGATAATTTCCAAAAATTGAAGTTAAAATGTATTTCCAATGTTAATCATGCTCATATATATTAGAGTACTAAAAAGTTTTGTAAATATTTATATACAGTGATACATTATCATACTGTGAACTCCTATTTTGGGATTAAAATAAGAAACTCTTATAAGAAAACCCTCCAAATAGGAGTAAATCATTAATCATATACTCAAAGTAAGAATCCCAAACTTATATACCTAAAATAGGAATAAAATTAAAAATAAAACGAAAACCCCATTAGGCCCATCTCATCTCCTAGCCACAATAGATGAGCCCCCATCATCATCTTCAAGCAAAAGTCATCATCTTCGGCTATGAGAATTCGCTCTTGACGAAATTGATGACCTGTGATGTCGCACCCTTCCCCTTCAATTCTGTGTTGAATCGGTCATCACAAGTTTGAATCTCGCATAAAACGAAGCTTCCTTCTTCTACTCCATCTTCTACTCAGTGTGTTCTTCCCCAGTTGCCTTCATTGATATGTCCATCAAAATATTAAATAATACTCTCTCCTTCCCAAAACGTCCGACACGTTTCGAAAAAATTGCGTCCTATAAAGTCCATTACATTTCTATTAAAAAACCACTTTTACCATTTTCTTTTTCATACCCTATCTATCACATCATACCTTTTTCCTAATAATCTACCCATCACATCCTATTTTTACCCATCACATCAAGGGTATTTTTGGAAAGTCAACACGAAAATATCTCTCCCTTAATTTCCCAAAAAGTCAATATGTACCAATCTTTTTGGGACGGAGGGAGTATATATTAATTTAAAGATTTAAAATAATAAAATATTATGAAAATGTATAGTGCAGAAGATATGATTGGAGTGAGTATATAGAAGTAGAGGTGTAAAAACACTGTTAATAGTATAAAATAAGATTTACACTATCATTTTTTTCGCTATGAGTTGGAGATGCTCTTACCAAAAAGAGCATTCATTCTCTCCAACTACACACTAAAATTATTTCCAATCGGTAGCACTATATTTGGTTCAAAAAATAAGAAAAAAACTTTTCCTTTTCTTCACAAAAAAAGAAGGAAATTTGTTTCTCTACTTCTAACTTGTTTTCCATTTTTCTTTTTTCCCATTTTTTCTTTCATTCTCTCACAAACCAAACAACAAAAGTTTTTAATTTTCATTTCATTTTTTTTCTAATTTTTTTTGAATTGTATATAGTGTTACACTGTTACGCTCCCTAAAAAAATTTCCTCTGTCCCAAATTGTTTGCAACATTTCGAAAGACATGTAGAATATCATCCTTTCTGAAATTATTTTATTTACAAATTGATAGAGAAATAAAAAGTAAAAATTACACCATTCAAAAGTAAATATAAAATTTTACAAAACAAGATGCGACAAAATTGTCAAATGATTAACAAAAATAAGAAAACAAACATAATTTATCCAAAAATCAAAACAATAACTATGATATTCTTTTTGAGACTGAGTAAATATATAGAACGAAACTACACAAGTGGTAGCAATGCACGGAGCCACGACTAAAAGCATTCCCTTTTTTTTTTCTTTTTTTCGTTTTTTTGAAAGCGACTATAAGCCTATCTAATGTTTTTTACCCCAAAAAAAGCCTTATAATGTCTTTGGGAAAAAATGGAATTTCTTGTAACAAAAATGTCATTGTTGTCTATGGGTTCGTCCTTCTTTACGCGCCGCCCCAACATGGGAGTCACAGACTTGGGCCCTAAACTTGCACCCGAACTTCTTCCTCCATCCTCCGCCGCCCTGCTCGCCGCCGTCTCGCCTCCCACCCGCCTCGTCAATCGCTCTTTTCATCGCATTGCACTCCCGTTCCAGCTCATCCATCCGCGCCTTCATGCTATCCATGTCCACTCGCAGCTTCTGATTTTGCCTCACCGCATCTCTCCACGCGCCGCTCCTTCCCTGGACACGCGCCCCCGCCTCATCATCATCTTCCCCGTCTTCAGGCAAGTCGGCGGCTAGCAGAGCCCCGGCAATGGCGTGTCGGAGTTGGAGCTGCTCGAAGAACAGTACCTGAACGACGGCTCTTAGCGGGAGCCGGTCGTTCTGCGCCGCGTGAGTGCAGGCCTCCAATGTCAGCTTCCGGCAATCCATGACTCCGCAGATCTTCTCCCTCTCCGCCTCTTCTATCCATGGATGCTCCTGCATAACAGATTCTTCTTATTTCTACTCAAATTCAATCGAATTCTAAACCTATCAGTTTGCTCAAATTCAATGGCAATTCGTTAAGTACCTTCAAATAAACGTCTACCGCTCTGTAAAGTCCGTCGTCGAAGAGCCTAGCTTGCTCCGGCAGTGAAACGGCAAGTTCGCAAAACTTTTCCGGCGTCAGATTAGAGTCGGAAGCGATTTCCGATAAGTAACCGTCGATCAATCTCCCGACTACCATTACAGATGCAGATATCGAACTGTGTAGATCTTCATCGCCTTCGACTCTGTTTGTCGCAGATCTCTCTTCAGAAGCGGATAGGAAATGACCTAAAATTCTCTGAACACAATCCACATCATATAGTGTTTCGTTCTCAGAAGAATAGCTGGGAATGAGAAGATCGTCGAGCGTAGCTTGCTCCATCTGAGATCCGATTTTCCTCTCCAGTCTCGATCGGCAGATCTCTGAAACGTCGAGAATGTTCGCGGATCGGAGCAATCCGAATAGAAGTCGAGTGGCGGAAGAAGATATGGAGCTCTTCTCGGTCGGGAGATTCGAGATTATGGCCTCCAGAATCTCCCTCTGTTCAGTCTCGGCAGGGATGGAAGATGAAGATGGCCTCCGAGCAGATCGCGAGAGTCCTGGTATGTTTCTCTTCGCGTAGCAAATCAAACAGTTTTCGATAACATCCGGATTCAAATCTCGATCTTTCATGGCGGAAATCAAACGCTTGAACAGATGTAGGCTCAGATGGCCGAGTTCTTCCCACCATGAATCTGTTGCTCCGCCGCCTCTTGAAGCTCCCTTCCGGCGAGTACTCCCTTCCACGCCGTTCCAAAAAGGGCGGTTGGCACCTATGTCACTCACCGGCCATCCGAGCAACGACGGATCTCCGGAAGAAGCTCCGGCCGCGATGGCATCGATGCATCTCGGAACAATACCCAACGTCTCCGCCATCGGCAAGAGCTTCTCGCAGGAGTTGAGGGTTTTGATCGAGTCCCTGGCACTCTTCAGGACAGTTAGCGAGAAAAACCTCTCCGTCTTCGAGACGAGATTCTCGCCGGAATATTCCTCCGTCATCCCCAAATACTCCCCCGCGCATCGGAGCAGAGCCACATTGGAAGCCGACAAGTCAATCTTGACGCCATAGCAGAACTTGGCAGCAGCTTCGAAAGCCTCCAACCCGCCGGGGAAATTCGGCAGCGAGATGTGGCATTGGAACTCCACCGCCTCTTCTTCAATCTCTCCGCCCCCATCACCATTCCGTCTCAGCCTTGTCTCTTGTTCTGTGATCAAATCATGAATCTTTCGACTCTTTGACATCAAAGGAAACTGAACCAACACAAAGAATCCATGAGAAACTATTGGAGAAATAAGCTACCAATTCAAGAAAGGAATTCACATACAAACTTAACCTTGTGGAGATGAAAGGTCATATCATCTACTTGGATTGTCACGTCGCTTGGTAACCCAGTGGCGCAAAACCTGAAATAGAGAGTATGGAATGAGCACAAAAACCAGAGGGAAACAGTTACATATATATATATTTTGATCATATAATTATCTCCTTACCATGCCTGGGCTTTGGGAGAGGGGTTTTCAGAGTCCATTGTTGTGGGGGGATGAAGAAGATTGATGGAAGGTTATGAGTTGGGAAGAAGAAGTGATGAGGACAGATCCATGGAGTTTGTTTAACTTGGTCTTAGAGTTGACTCAGTAAACTGGCTGGCTGTGTGAGAGCAAAAGGAACAGAAAGAGTGGAGATTGGCTTTGTGCTAGGATATATAGAGAGGTGTTGAAAGATGGATCCAAGAATGAATGAATACACACGGGAAGGGGTGGGTTTGTTTCTTTCATAATTCCGGGATTTCCTTCTTTATTTGATTGATGGATGGATGGATTGGACCAGAAACTTTTCCCCGTTTGGGGGCAGTTTCACACTTTCACTATGATGAGGTGAGAGAAAGTGTGGAGGATTCAAAAGGCAAAAAAAGTCACTTTCCAAGTTTTTCGCATTTGCGAATCTTAAAAAAAAAGTGTTTGTTGCATTTTGGATCCATACCATTTAAGTGGATTTTTTCACATAAAAAATATTTTTTTTATTTTTTATTAAAAAACATATGTTTATTAGAAAATATTTATTTTGCTCATATGTAAGTCTATGGTAGAACTTAGATCAACTATAGAATTTGTCTTTCAAAAGAACTTTCTACTCTTAAATTCATATAATTTCCCTGTTTCAAAATGTTTGTTACATTAGAGCAGTGGAAATACCACTGACGTCCACCGACTTTAAGCTGGTTTTGACACATGGGAGGCGTTAAACACCGCCCCCTTTCCCTTTATCACACCGTCCTTTTTGCGACGTCAAACTTTTGAAGCAAATTGCATGCCAAAGTTCGGTCGGCCATTGGATCTTCACCCCCCCAGGGAAAATTCTTTCCTCTATATATTCAATCTATTGTTTAAAAATTCAGTACACACCACAAATCTCTCTCCCCTCTTTCTTTAAAAAATTATTCATTTATTTTATTTTTATTTTTATTTTTATTTTATATATGAATCCCTTCGGTTTTAATGTTCCTTCGTCTGGTATCGAGCCAAACGAGAAAGTGATGTGATTTTCCAATCATACGATGGTAATCCGTCGATGTATGATACACAAACCTCGTCTTTTTGTCTTATTTTTTATTAATGTATTTTTTTAATTAAATGTTTGTTTTTATTTAATGTAACTTTTTCATTTAATAAATTATTTTCATTCAAATTTAATTAAAATGAACTTTTCATTTAATTTAATTTTAGAATATGTGTATTAAAAATGTAAAAAATAAAGATTTGAAGCTCGAGGGTTCTAAACCCATTTTAAGTAAAACTATGAGGTAAGTTAAAGCTCACATGGCAGAGAAATAAATTTTGAAGCCATGAGGCTTCACGAGTATTACCAGTGCTCTTATGTAATTTGAATTGAAATTTTAGTTTTTTTCAATTTATTTTATTTAAATATTTAAATAGAAAATAAAAGTAAAATTTACATATTTAAAAAATCTGTCAAAATTCTTCAAAACAAGATGTCACAAATATATTTTACTTTATCAAATAATTGTTAAAAACAAACAAATAAACAAAAATTCCTGTGATTTTTGAATAATGAAAAAGTGAAAATGTAGTTCAAAGTATTTTCCGCTTTAAACAAATTTTTATTATACATTTTTTCAACTTTTCACCATTTTTTGTAGAAATTTGAAATCAAATTACGTATAAATTTATTTTAAAAAGAAAATGAAACCTAAATACTCCATCCGTACTGAAATTATATTTTTAGTTATTATTCAAATGATCAAACTTTATACACTTTCTTATTTTATTTTTATTAATTAATTATTTGATAAAATAACATAATCATGCGACTTCCAGTTTTGTAGAACTTTTGATGTGATTTTTAATTCTATACATTTTATTTTTAAATTTTGTAACTATAATCAAATAAATTGAATTGAAAATAAAATTACTCAAAACTTACAAAATAAAGCGATAAGTTAATTTTAGGAAGGATTGATTAGTAAAGACAAGTCTGAAACCAAAAGATAACGGGAATCCATTTAAACCATTTTTTGCCCCCCACACGTAGTGTTTAATGTGAGAGAACGTAACAACAAATCTACCATTTTCTGCCCCCACATGCTTTGAATAAAAACTCATCAAAAAATATTTTCCTGCTGGGTGTATCTTGAGCATTAACTTTACCTTCTACCACACTTTATTTTTCAAAGTTCAAATGATTTTTTTGGGTGTTGTTTTCGATCTTCATATATATACACTCATTTTCAAATGATCAACCAACCTCATTACTCAACTTGGTAGAAAAACAGAGAAAACTATAATTATTCTACTCCTATGCACTCCATAATGATCAAGAACCAACTAATGCAAAATGGCGGATGGGCATACTAATTACTCCTCTTACTCACATCGAGGTAAGGACGGTCTCCTCACGCCATGATAACACATACTCCCTCTGTCCCGCTATATTCGTCCACTTTTGACTTTTGGAACTGTTCATCTAAGCACTTTGATTCATCAAATTCTCTCAATGTGTAAGCCTAAATATACTCATGTGTGATCTTGTTTGATTTGTCTTAACATATAAATTATTAATATATATTTTCTGTAATTTTTTAATATACAAATTACAAGATAAAATGGATTAAAGAAATGTATTGGATGGTGTGTAAAAATAAAAGTGGAGAAATACTCTGGGACGGAGGTAGTATATGGTATAGCGGTTGCAAGAAAAACTACATATCCATGCACCACATGTGGCTCAATTGCCGGTTCCCGGTTGCCTATTGAGATGCTCTCTTTTAGACCCCAAAAGATGAGCATTCCCTATGGCGTTGTTTCTACTAGCCTTGTGAGTGTTGGTATACCGTGACCATCTTCTTGTCATTTTAGAGCATGCTTAATAAGGATTACTCTCTCCGTCCAAGAATATTCGTCTAGTTTGACATTTTCGAGTCAAACTGAACAAATTTTGATCACTAATTATTCTCAATTTATATTGCATATTAATACAATAGAATAATTTTTTGAAAGTTCTAAACAAGTTAAATATATTAAAATTATTTTTATACTAATATACATTACAATTTTTACTTAATTAAAGCTCAAAATTTGTCTAGTTTAACTCAAAAAGTCAAACTTGACGAATACTCTGAGACGAAGGTAGTACTTTTCAATTATGCTCACAATGAAAACACTCAAAATAGTCAAAAAAAACCAATAATGAATTTTAATCCACCAAAACTATGTGTCACTCATATTGAAGGCAAATTCTTCCATGAACTTAAGATTCATACTCATTTTATGGACCTTAGTGCATTTGTAGTATAAAAGAAATGAGCCTTTTGAAAAAAAATATTCACATGTAAGCTCATGAAAAATATAAGAAGATACAAATTTTAAATATGAACCTTGGAATCATGTAAGCATCACTCCATATTAAATATCTATCGCACAATTAAGAATAAAAGCAATAGAATCCTCACCAAGGCAGTTGATATTTACTAGGGACTAGGGTTGTTCATTTGGATATAACTTATTCAATTCAAAATTTTATATTGGCAAAATGGTAAAATCTATATTATGTGTGATTCGAAAATGTTTAGATATTCGAATTCCCGATATCCAAAATTTTGATCGGACTTGTGGAATATCCTTAATCAATTTTTATTCTTATATTTTGAATTTTTACTTTTTCCAAAGGTTCTAAAAAAATATTTGGGATGAACTTTTATTCACTAAAATAGTGGAGTTCAATATTCATTCTCTTCCTCCCTCGGCCGCATCCCATCATAAATACCCCTTGGCACCCCTCGTCTTGCTAACTGTGCAATGTTGGTAGATGTTGTGCAGTTGGCAAAGCAAGGAGTGCTAAGGGAGTAAGATTCGAGTTTGATTCCTGACAACTACCTGAAAAGTAACTATGCTAAACATAGATTGTTTGCAAGTATCGGGCGTAAGCTCCACTCTTTGACACCAAAATTTGATTAAAGTCTAATTTATCTCCTCTCCTGTCCGACTGAGTCTAAGGGGACCCTCGGAGATGAGGCTCATCCTTTTTATATAACGCCCCTAACTTGCATGCACCCACCATTCTAACCGACAAGAGGCAAAAACCTCAACCCCAAAGAGACAATATAAATAGTGAGAACCCTATTCAGAAAAAAATTAAATTTTATAATTGGTCTTTTATTATAAAGATTTTTCAATATTTAGTTTTCTATTACTAAATATTATCCCCGTGATCTTTTTTTATGAGTAACTTTCCATAAAGTTCTTGTATTGTCCTGCCATATTGGTATTAAATTGAAAGCTAAAAATGTAATTTGACATAAACTTTATGTCTAATGACTTATTTTGATTTCAGTTAAATGGGCAACACAAGAATAATACTCCCTCCGTCCTAAAACTTTCTTCCCAGAGCACTATTCCAACTTCACGGGAATTTATATTTATTTGTGTTTTTTCATAGCCTATATGATAAAATAAAATATTCTTGTCACCACTTGTTTTGTTAAAGTTTTGATGTAGTTTTTAAATATGTATGTTTTATTTTTTATTTCTATATCAATATTTAAATAAAATAGATTGAAAAAACTTGAGATTTTTCTTTGTTTTGCGCAACGGGAAGAAAGATATAGGACGGAGGGAGTAACTATGACGGTGGACTATGATTACGACCGAAAGACTACATTTATAGACTATGATTGTAGTAGAAAATAACTACAATGTAAAAATGACACATTAGGAGTGATCTTTGTAATTGTGTATAACATATGATCATTATAAAATTACATTTTTAACTCTCAAGTTAACACCAACATGACAAAAGATAAAAAATATTTATGAAAAAATAACCGTAAAAAAGACTACCGGAGTATTATTTTATAATAGAAGACTAAATAGAAAAAAACTCGTTGTTATAAAGGACTAGTTATGAAATTAACTCAAAAAAATCAATACATTATTCTTCACCTTATACCAAAGTCTTGATGTTTCATTAAAACTATAGCAGGACTTTGATGCTAAAATGCCTAGAAACTCACGGTTTCTAAAAAAAACAGCAACCTTAAGAGAGTAGTTCGGGCGGGGGTAACATAGGCGACATTTAACACAAAGAGCCTAAAAGAAACAATTAATCACCCCATAACATTGCGCACATAATTTATGGTCCGCAAAATGCATCAGCAAACCAAA